TCTCTCTCCATCTCCCTCTCTCTGTCTCTCTCTTTCTTTGTGACATACACCTTTCCTTTTTTCACTCTCTTCCTTTTTCTATCTCATTTTTCACTCCCTCTCTCTCCCTCTCCCTCTCTCTCCCTCCCAGTCGTCTGCTATTTTTCTCGCGCTGTATCTTACTTATATGAAACGCTCATGTTAAAAATTTGTCACTCGTTTATGCATTTATTCATTTATTAATTCATTCATTCGTTCGTTCGTTCATTCATCCATTCATTTTCTCATTTGTTCATTCATTTATTCATTCATTCATTCATTCATTCATTTATCCATTTATATCCTTCCTGATTCACACACACACACACACACACACACACACACACACACACACACACACACACACACACACACATATATATATATATATATATATATATATATACACACACACACGCATATGGCTATTTCGTCTTGAAAAATGTTCACCATTCTTATCTACCATTTGATACTATTCTGTTGAATTTTAATTTTTGATTAAGGTTAGTGGTGGTGATGATGATGATGGTGATGATGATGATGGTGGTAATGATGATAATTGGAATGACGATAATGATGATGAAGATGAGGATGATGATGATAATAAGGTGGAAGATGAACAGTTAGATTAACATTAAAGCAAATATACCGCTATAATTTCTACTGCAATAATAATAATAATAATAATAAAAATAATAATAATTATTATTATTATTTATATCAACAACATCATAATCAACAAATCAACAAAAACGCCACAGATCGTCATCAACAACAACAACATCAACAACAACGTGGTCTTGATAATGATGATTTATGACCATGATGATGATGATGGTGGTGGTGGTTATGGTAATAGTCGCGATTATAGAGAGTATCTCTATTACAAGTTTGCTAACATTTTTTTCAATACAATTATTTATTAATATGATTATCTTTTAATAATGATATATTTTATTAATATTATTATTATTGTTATTATTATCATCATCAACATCGTGTCATTTTCACGAAACTTTGAATAATTGAATATTCATTGAATATAAATCAATTTTCGCCAACCAAATTTAAATAAACTCTCCACCAATCATAAACAAGATGAACACTTTCAAACCAATCAAACACGACTTTAAAAAACTTTTCCGATCAAATGTCGCCAGAAAAAATTCCCAGCCAATCAAATATTTCTACAAAACTATTTAAACTCCAACTAAATAACCGCATAAAATCATAGGCAGAGACTCTTCAACTACTCAAATCAAATATTACCACCAAAAATCTTTCAACCAATCAACTCATCAGGAACCAATCAGTAGGTGGAGTGAGAGACAACCGCCAACCAATGAGAATGGAGAACGCTGATGACGTCAGAATGAATTACGCAGTCGTGAAAGGCCCAAGATGGAAGGCCAGCTCGTCATCATATCATTATAGCGAAAATGATGATCGTGATGATGGTGATGATGACGTTCGTCGTTACTATAGCGACAAATATAATAATAATAACTATAATAATAATAATTACTATGTGGCAAACAAAAAACGTTCATCTCAGAACGCATCTGTTGAGTTGTCGGACAGAAAGCTGGCCATCTTCAGCAAAGACAACGAAACATATGACTACTACATCAACAACAACAACAAACACGTAAACAAACGCCTAAACAAGAGTGTAAACAAGAACATCATCAACAACAACACCACCATCACTATTGAAGACGACGACGACGACGACGATGATTATCAAAATTTTTTGCAATGGAAACGAGCACAGAAGCAAAAACAAAGGGCAACCAGCCAATCACAGCTCGTCGTTCAAACGGAAGACGAAGCCGTATTCACTTCCGGTCATTACGAAGACAGGAATGTGCATAAAAACAGAGATGGGTATAAGATCAGAAATAGGGATGAACACGGTTACTCGGATAACGAAATACCGAGACGAATAAATGCCGCTAAAATGTCGGTTATAAATATCGACAATGATTTTGACAATAATTACAACAACAACATTAGCAACAACAACAACATCAACAACAACAACAACAACAAAATAAATAAAATTAAGAACGATGATGATGACGAATACTACAATTCAAGAGATATCAGAAGAGGTGCTGGTAATGATGGCAATGTTGGTGCTGATAATGATGATGACGATGACGACCGTGGTTTTGGTGACGATGATCGTGTTGCCAACGGGAGATCCAAAAACGCGAGAAAATTTGATGAAAATCGAAGGTATGTGATAGAATTAATGGCTTCTTTTAACCTTTTGAAATTTCAATTTGAAAAAACAAATTTAAAAATTAAGATATCAAATTAGTGATAGATAAATAAATAAATAAAGAAATAAATATTTAAATATTTAAAATGACCCCAAAATTAAATAAAATTAATATTTAGGGTGGCCCCTAGCAGTGAGGGAACGGCACCAGCTGGCAAACCTGTCGACGATTTTTACGAGTACAGACAGGAAGTTAAAAAAATGTTACAAGTTGAGAAAAATTTGGCACCGCAAAATTTTAAGAATGAAAATAATTCTGCGCTACATAATGAAAATATTTCTCGGGATTATTCCGACCGAGAAACGATATGTTTGAGAAAAAGTGACGACGGTGATGATGACCAATCGCCGTCACTAATAGCGAAAAAACCGGACTTAGCTGAGGTCAAAATCTCGCAACAAAAACAACAACCCCAACAACCACAACAGCCACAACAACCCCAACAGCCACAGCAGCCACAACAACCACAGCAGCTACAACAGCCACAACAACTACAACAACTACAACAAAGCAATGTAAAAAACACCGGCTTGTTGTATACGAAACCTGACAAAGCCAATAAACAACGCAAGCAGTACCAGCTACAACAACTTCAAAGATTGATGGACTTCGGTAAGTCGAACCCGCAACGGTCGAATAGTATCGAGTTTGTCGGTGTCGACACTTTCAACCAACAGCAGCAGCAGCAGCAACAGCAGCAGCAGCAACAGCAGCAGCAGCAACAGCAGCAGCAGCAACAGCAGCAAAAACAGCCGCCGTTAAGATCGACTAGTAAATTAAATCGATCCCAGTTCTATCACGAATTCGAGGTGAGGCTTCTCGGTTCCGTGCCACTAACTCAATCCGACCTGGCCCCCAGAAATAGGGATGTGCAGATTGGTAAGTGCATCGAGAATTTTAAAGGACAGATTAAGGAAAACAAGAAGAATAAAAAAAATTCGGTTTAGACATATTAATCTTTAATTTTTTATTTCGATAAATTTTTTTTACTTTCATGCTACTGATGACGATGAGGAATGTGGTGATGATGACGACGACGATGATAAATAAATAATAATAAACAATAAAAACAATAATAATAATAATAATAATAATAAAATAATGCTAATAATAATAATCCCAAGAGCTCCGGAGGCTTTCAAATGCTGATGCAAATTTTGAGTTGGGACTTGAATCTGGTCAAGACGGATACGAACACAATCGTTAAAACGCACTCACTTGAAAAAATAAAAATGTGGAAAACCGGAAGTGGAAATAAATTGAAGTTAGTTCGGTGTTTTTAGTGTTTTTGGTGTTTTGTATAATATTAATGATAATGATTATTAATGATATGATAATTTTGTTCGGCTTGGTTGGTTGAATAACTAAATGATTTATGAATGGAAGAATAATTTAATGATTAGATAAATGAGTTAAAGACGGATGAAAGATATATGGATAGGTAGATGAATGAATGAATTAAGGATAGCATCACCACCATCATTACATTATCACCATTATCATAATCAAATCATCGTCATTATTGCATCGCCACCATCATCCAACCCAACCAATCACAACCCACCACACAGTCACGTGTTCGCTTACGTAATCGAGGAACCAATAGGCGATAGTTACTCATGTTGGGTGTATCTAACTGCCCTACCTTCCTCGAAAGTAACATCGGCTCTCAGCCTGGCCGTCAACAGTGTCAACCAGAGTATCAGCAACCGTGGTGACGATGATGATGTCATTGGCCGTCTTGATAACGATACCACCACCACCACCACTACTACTACTACTACTACTACCAATAATAATAATAATAATAACAATAATACAAATAATAACAGCAATAATAATAATAATAATAGAATCATGAGCAAGGACGGCAGGTACGTCAATGTCAGCATCACAGCTGGTGGGGAAAAAAACTCACCTAGAACAGATGACTTCGACGACGACGACGATGATGATCGTAATTTCGGTGCTGATAATGATAACGTTAATAATAATAAGAATAATAATAATATTAACAAATCAAAAGCAGTTGTTTACAAAAGTCAGGATAGAGATTTTAACAATGGCATGCCAAGCATAGCTGTCACGATACCCAGCAATGAACGCGGTGGTAATAGTAATAGTTTCAATAATAATAGTAATAATAATAACCGAGCAAACAATAATAATAATAATAACATCGGTATTGGCGGTGAACAGGTAAAATTTAGACAGGATGTTAGCTTAAGTGCTAGAAATAACAACAACAACAATAATAATAATAATAATTATAATTATAATAATAATTACAAATTGGATGTGGATCCCAGCAGAAGGCCGTCGATAAAAACCAATAAAAATGAATCTCTCTTAGTTGTTAGAGAACCGTCGCGAAAGAATGCAACTGCAACTGCTGCTGCAACTAATGAAGACAGACTCCAACAGAAACAACGAAATTATCGCAATAGTTTGGACTTGCAACCACAACTGCAACCACAACTGAGACATCCTCAAAAACTTCAGCAACAGTCTAGAATTCAACAACAAAAACAACAGCAACAACATTTTGGTTATTACCAAGACCAGAGGCATCAACAACAACAGCAACAACCATTAACACCCCGACAACATCATCATCAACAACAACAACAAAAACATCAACAGCAACATCAACATCAACAGCAACAACAACAACAGCAGCAGCAACAACAAAGAAATTTCAGGTACAGCCAACAAATTTCGCTCACGAGCAAAGAACCACCTCTTAAAAAGAACCCGGAATATAACATCACCCAACACAAATCTACAATAACGATTTCCCAAGATTCAGACGCTGAAATAAGACACCATTCCCATTCGCCGAACAAACAATCAGCACATCCTTATTTTAGGCCAGCCAATGAGCGTGAGCTAGCGAACGGAGCTCATAGAAGAGATTTTTCAAACCCTGCAGTCCCTAGAGATATAAACATTTTAAGGGTTAAAACCCACGAACTAACGAGCTCTGCCAGAAATCGATCGCCCAATCAGATGAAGAGTCCTAGAATACTGGACGTTGATTGGTCGAAAAATAGTTTACCTGCTGGGGATATTCAAACCAGAGGACCTATCTCGCCGAAGATTGCTGGATCTAGCGTGATGTCAGGTTTGTGATTGGCTAGTTATTATTTTCACCATAATTTTTGGATCATAATAAATATTTATTACTAATTATAATAATAATAATATAATATAATATAATAAATTGATCAAATAAATAAATAATATTAGAACACGAGCTTTCTTGTGAGGTCGACTGTTTCTACTTGGGTCTCGTCAAAGTCGACCAAGCCACGGGTTAACAACAATTACAAAAATAAAATTATGCAAAATAATAATTTCATAATAAATAATTTCATAATAAATGATTTCATAATAAATAATTTCATAATTTAACAATTAAATCATCAATGATTAAGTCGCCAGGCCCAGCCGTAACGAACTTACGTATTAGGCATCAATGATTATCTTATATCACATACACTGGCAAGGTGTCTGTAAAGCGAGGTTTCGCGCGCAATAATATTCATAATAACATAATAATAATTATAATTATAATTAGTTATAATTATTTTTAATATAAGGGAGTGATGTCATTAGAAAGTCGTCCGAGATTTTGATATCAGACGTGCAGACGACCAAATGGATGAAGGTTCAAGTTCAGATCAACCCGCTATATATTTGCACTGTCAACTATAATGTAAATACCAAGTCTATTATTATTATTTTTATTCTATTATTATTATTATTATTATTATTGCTATTAGTGTTACTATTACTGCTGCTACTACTACTACTACTACTACTACTCTTACTACTACTTCTACTATACTTCTACTACTACTACTACTACTACTACTACTACTACTACTACTACTACTACTACTACCACTACTACTTCTACTACTACTACTACTACAACTACTACTACTACTACTACTAATGGTAATAATAATAATAATAATATTATTATTAATTAATTAATTAATTAATTATAATAAACGTTCGCAGAACCCTGATGACATCATTTACTACTGCAGAATAAAATCAGTCTCTTACAGCGGCGTATCTATAAGGAACCAAAAGTATTATGAATATTTATAATAAATTATTAAGATTTTATTATAATAATAATTATTATTATTTTCGTTATTATTTTTATTACATTTCCTAAATAATTTTCCTCTCGATCGATGGTATTCCTACGAACATACCAATAATAATAATAATAATAATAATAATAATAATAATAATAATAATAATAATAACAATAATAATAATATTAATAATAATAATAACAATAATAATAATAATATCATGGATTTATGTCGAATTTCAAATTATTTTTTTCCTAGATTTGGCGGTTTCATATCGTCAGCAAAAGATGGGTATTGGTGTCATATTTTTTTCTGCGAGCCCAGCGCACACAAACTTTTCAGGGCAGTATCTAACGCCTGCCAGGTAAGATTTCGTCATTATTATTACTATTAGTATTGTTGTTGTTGTTGTTGCTGCTGCTGTTGTTGTTGTTGTTGCTGCTGCTGCTGTTGTTGTTGTTGCTGTTGTTGTTGTTGTTGCTGTTGTTGTTGTTGTTGCTGTTGTTGTTACTGTTGGTTGTATTTTGTTACTTTTTCGATAAAAGTTATAAAATTGCATTTTTTCTGAAGGAGTGCTACGTTCAAGCGATGCGGCATCAATTGAAAATAAAGTGAAGAGAGTTTTTTACTACTGCTGCTGCTACTACTACTACTACTACAACAACTACTACTACTACTACTACTGCTGATACTGCTACTACTACTACTTTGTGATTCTAACTTTTCAATTTTTATTTATTAATACAAATTTAGTTCGTTTTTTAACTTAGTGATGATCAAACCTTTTGATTTGCTAACAAAAACAACAATAATAACAACCATAATAATAATTCAACTACTACTCCTATTATTATTATTATTATTTATATTAATACTGCCAATGGTTGCAATAACTTCAAAATTTTAATTATTGTTTAGTAGAGAAGAATAACATCTTATTGGTTTCATACCAAGAAAATAATTATTATTTTTATTTGTATACTGATGTTGAAAATTAACATTGTCTCAATTTTTTAACTTATTATTGTTACAATCATCCTTATTATTTTATCTTTGTTATTACCGACGTGACGTCATCTGGAATTTTTCAATTCAAGATTGATTTTTCTTTCTTACTGTTTAGAATAACTGATCCTGTTAACATATAATAACAATGATTATACCATAAACAACAACAACAACTAACAACAACAACAATAATAATAATACAGTTGCTAACCATAACATTTTTACCGTTATTAAATAGTGATATTTTAATATTATGAACAATGCAATTTATTTTTAGAGAGGTTTTTCTAATTTTGATGTGATCGAAAAGTTTATATTTGTGATTTTGTTTAATATTTTGATTAAATTTATAAAAAAAATAATTGTAAATTCTCAAACTAAGTTATCGTTATTATAGTTCGATTCTAAATTTTGATTGACATTTTATTGAGAGTAAATTTATTTATGTCTATTAATAAAACCATCCATCTCATCCATCCATCAATCAATCCGTCTGTTCATTCATTTATCTAACCATCCATCTATCCACTCAACTATCTATATATCCATCCATCCATTTATCTATCTATCTGTCTGTCTGTCTGTCTGATCATAAGTTCATCCATCTATCTATCAATCCATTCATTCTTCATTACAATAATTTACAGCATCTTCTTCGTAACCATTATTGTTAATTTTATTATCATTATCACCATCGCTATCATCATCAGCATCGTAATATGACGTTTTATTAAGCAAATTTGGAATAAAATTTTATAAAAATAATTAACTTTGATCATTTTTTTGTGTTAAAAATTAAATATTCTGCAAAATCTAATCTAATTCATCAAAAATCATTACGCATACAGACACACACACAAACAAACACACACACACACGCATATGTATATATATATTTATATATATTATATATATATTCATTTTTCTATATTCATCCATCTATTCATCCATTTATTTATCTATTAAATATTCTGCTAAATCTAATATATATATACATATATTAAACACTGAACAAAAGCAGCTATATCATACTTGCTGAAATTTGAAACTCGAATTACAAACATTAAACTAACCTCAAATCTCATTATTCTGTCGCCTTGTGAAAATAATAATTAAAATTTCCCGAATCAAAGTAACGGTTTTTTTTCACCGGAGAAATAGTTTTTACTAATTTCGAAAATGGACCCCGAAAAATCGAAAACCGAGCAAGTTTTAGGTAAATGCATTTTTTAATCAGTTATAATTGAGCTACAGAATATTTTTTTAATTTATTAAAAAATAAAAATTATTAAATATTTTTCATATTTTCATATTTATTTTAAATTTGAAAATAAATATAATTAATTTAACTAACAACTAATACTTATTAAATAATATATAGATATGATTATGTTACGTAAGAAATTGTGTCTTAAAATTTGAAAAATTAATTTTTAAAACTTTAAAAAGCTTTCCCCATTTTAATACAACTTTGTTGTGGATGTTATTGCCCTTCCTTACTAACTAACTCTGAAAAATGATGGGGATTAGTGAAATAAGGTTTAATTAAAGTTGTATGTAAATGAACTAATCTAACTTTAACCTAAAACTGAGAGCAGATAAAAAAATGAAAAGAGCTAACGAAGGGCAATATCTTGCCTTACTAATACCTCCAAATAATTAAATAAATAATATCGCATAAATGATATGTTTTTCTAATTAATGAATGGTGTAATCAATTGAAATTATGATAATTAATATGATGTTTTATTATTAATTATCTCAATAAATAATTTGTGTTTTGATTATTTACTGTCTTAATTAGCTAATATCTTAAAAATTTAAATCACATTTATACAACAAAAATAGTTCCTGGATCAGTTGGCCTAAAAAACTTGACAAACACTTGTTTCATGAACGCCGGTTTGCAATGTTTGTTTTGTAATCCTGGTATCTGTCAATATTTCCTCCATGACTTCAAAAGATTGGAGCAGAATAAAAACACCATTGTCGGTTAGTTAGTGATCTATGTTTTTTGGGTATGTACGTGTGTGTTCATTCGTCTTTATGTGTGTTTGTTTGTGTGTGTGTTTTTTTTGGCATGTATGTGTGTGTGTGTTAGTGCTTATTTATGTTTGTGTGTTTGTTTGTGTGTTTGTATGTTTTTGGGTATGTATGTGTGTGTTTGTTAGCGCTTATTTATGTTTGTGTGTTTGTTTGTTTGTGTGTGTTTTTTTTTATATGTATGTGTGTGTGTGTTAGTGCTTATTTATGTTTGTGTGTTTGTGTGTGTGTGTGTTTTTTTAGTATGTTTGTAAATGTATTGTATTGTTTAAATATAAATAGATATTTATAGAAAAATTAAAAAATCATTTTATATTAGTTAGTCATGTCCCATTTATTAATGTGTATGTATGTGTGTGTTTTGTTGTTGTTGTTGCCCATCCTAGATGTACTGGTTGGTTAGTTAGTGATCTATGTTTGTGTTTTTAGTGCCTATTTATGCTTGTGTGTGTGTGTGTATGTGTGTGTGTTTGTGTGTTTTTGGGTATATATGCTTTGTATGTGTTCATATTGCTTGTGTATGTGTACCCATTTGTTTATGTGTATTTAATTGTGTATTTGAATGTATTGTATTTGATTTCTTTGTGTGATATATAATAAACAAATGAAATTTTTAAATTGAAACAAATAGGTGAATATGAGAAATATTTTTTACATTCTTTCCCACTAGATGCCTTCGCAGATCTGGTGAGAAGGTGTTGGAGTGGCCAGTTTTCAGTTCTGCGTCCGTACAGGTTCAAGTCTTCCATCTCCAGTTATCATTCCCAGTTTAGGGATTATAGACAGGTATGTTGGTGTGTTTGTTCGTTCGTACGTTCGTTTGTTTATCCATTCGTTCGTTCGTTTGTCTATTCGTTGGTTTGTATGTTTGTTTGCATGGTTGTTAATTGTAGGTATTGCCAAATAAATTTTAGACATGAAAAAATCGATACTTTTGAGTATCGGGTGGATGTATCTTTATTAATGAATGATTTCAAAATGACACGCATTAGATTAAAGTTAAATTTGGTATTTAAGATTAAGTTTCTCCGTCGTGCCATGCGTGTTTCTTCTTAAAAACTTATGTTGCCCTTTACCCGCTGTCCTTCATATCTTGAAACATTGTTATTCTTTAAAAAAAAAAAACCACATTATTCAATATCTAATACAATATTTAAAACATTCACATACATACTCAAAAACACACACACAAACACACACATGCACGAGAACACGCACGCACACACACACATATATATACACACACATATACACACACACACACGCGTACACTTACACAAACAAGCACTAACTGTTTGATCATTAAGAAAATTTTCAACTTTTCCTCGCCTCTTCGGCTCCGTAGCATGACTGCCAGGAGTTTCTAGCTCTCCTATTGGACAGCCTTCATGAGCACCTCAACAACGATAACGTTGAATTTCTGCTACTCAACAACAACTTCAGCGAGAACATCAACAACAACATCAACAACAATTCTTCCCACAGCAACACCGACAGTGGCAACATCATTAATATGATCTGCTACAATAGAAATGACTTGCAAATCGGCAGGATTCTGGGTGTTAAGAGTGACAATGATGCTGCCGTTGTTGCTCATAGTAATGATGTTGTTGTTGTTGGTGATGATGATGAGGATGATGATGATGAAGGTGATGATCACCAATGCCTACCCACTCTATCGATTGCTGCAACATCCACCTCTTTCGATTCTGAAAATGAAGATTCGCTTTTAAACAAAGATTGTAAAAGTTTTTTGAGGAGGTTTAAAAACTCGAATGGCAACAGTGTCGGGATCTGTTACGAGTTTCCGCTCAACAACAACACCACCAGCAACAACAACAACATCATCAGCAACATTTACAACAACAACCGTGAAAACAGCAACAAAATTATCAACAACAGCGATCTTGACACCAGTGAAACATCATCAACAACAACAACAACAGCAACGAAACAACAACAGCAACAACACCATCAGCCCAGCATTGAAGACATATACATGAAGGACTCCAAAACTCTAAACACCAACGTGGCCGTAGTTAATGAGAACGAAACGCAACAAATATCAACGGACAGCGAGAAGTTTCACAAGATTCTAAACACCGATCGTAATTCTTTGCTGATGGTAGGTCGGCGTTAGTTAGTTCTATGTTTGACCGCCTGCCACTTGGCTTTCCATAGTTTTTATTTATTCATTGGTTTGTTTATTAACAATATATTTATTAACAATATATTTATTACTATTTATAGTTTATTATTAATAATTTACTTTCCATAAAGAATTTTTTTTTAATTTTCTTTCAAAGTATTCAGACCTGGATGATGTTCTACTCACTATGGTTCCAAAGGGTCCTGGTGATTATTTCTCAGGGATGGACAGTAGTAGCATGGATTGTAGCGAGTATCCAGCTGACCTCAAAACAGCATATCAAACTAATTTCAATTCTGAATACCAAGCTAATTCAAAACCAGAGTGTCAAAGCAACTTCAAAATGGAACCTCAGGCTAACTTGAAAAATAACAATAACAATAGTAATAATAATGTTACCATAGGTGGTGGTCATGATGATGTGAATATATTCAACAGTTTAAATTCTTACGACAAAGAATCATTAATTTTTCAAAACAAAGTGGCCCTACTAGAGAGTGATAAAAATTCTCTGCCGAAGATCAAAGAAACGAATCTATGGAAAGCCGAAACGTCTTCGGCCAGCCGGAAATTAGGAGGAGATAGGACGACGGCGACGAAAATGATGATGATGATGGAGTGTGATGATGATAATGATGACGGAAAAGATGATGATGATGATGATGATGATGCTAACTCTGACGAGATAATTAAGATTAAGAGGATAAAGATTAACGACGATAATAACAATAACAACAACAACAAAAATAACAAGCTTAGTAACAATAATAATATTAACATTAATAACAATAATAATGTTAGTAGCATCATAAACAACAACATCAACAACAGCCGTAGTAGCATCACGCCCAAGCTATCCCGCCCAAATGTTAACGTCTTTAATCAGCACCTAAACATCAATAGCGGCATCAAGAGACCCGATACTGAAAACGATCCTAAATGTCTTGATGATGATGATGATGACGATGATGTCAACAACTACGATGATGACGATGCCAATGATGATGATGATGATGATAATTGGTGTTTAGTCTTTTTTTATTTTATCTTCTTTAATTAGAATTTGTTTTTTTCGGCTTATAAATATTTTGGCTTTTTGGTAACGACTTGGATGACGTTGCGTTTGAAATGATTGATTGATTTCAAACTTTGATTCCTTCGTACATACAGCCAACGCGAGGCCAGCAGAACGTCATTATCGCCCTGCAAAAATACACCATCCTCATCATCCTCATCGTCGTCGTCGTCATCATTATCATCATCGCCGGCCGATGAAAACGAAAGTGAAACTGAACAGCGGCAGCAGCAGCAAAATGGCGGGGTTTTCAGCCGGAAGTGTTGCAGCCGAGAGGCAGACGACATGTGGGATGATTATTTGTTGAGGAACAGGAGTGTTGTTGTCGATACCTTCCAAGGACAGTTCAAGAGCGCTGTGAGTCGTTTGTTGTTGTTGTTGTTGTTGTTGGGAGTGATTATGATGATGATGATGTTGTTGTTGAGGGTGGTTGTGATAAGGATGATGATGATGTTGTTGTTGTTGGGGGTGGTTACAATAGTGATGTTATTGTTGTTGTTGTCTTTGTTGAAGTTGAAACGACATCGTTATCAACACCACCATCACCATTATCATCCTTCTTGTTTCCTAAGGTACTATGTTCAGAATGTGGTCACACCTCGACGACCTTTGAACCCTTCATGTACCTTTCCTTGCCCATTCCTGGCGCCCTGCAGAAACAGTTTCGTTAGTGTCTGTCTGTGTGTGCGTGTGTGCGTGTGTGTGTGTGTGTGTGTGCGTGCGTGTGTGTGTGTGGGTGTTTAAACAAACTGGTGGGCTGGTTGGGTTGATTAGTTGGTTGATTCATTGATTGATTCATTTATTGATTCATTGATTGATTCTTTCATTCATTCATTCATTCATTCATTCATTGATTGATTGATTGATTCATTCATTCATTCATTCATTCATTCATTCATTCATTCAATCATTCATTCATTCATTCATTTAATTTTGTTGAGTGGTTGAGTAGTTGGTTGGTTGGTTGGTTGATTTGTCGGCTGACCAATTTGATTGGTTTGTAAACTTGCTGATAAGTTAGGTTAATTAAGTTGATTCCTTCTTTTTTTTCTAAGTTGTCGTTGTACCTGCAAATGTAACGTTTGGTCAGCAGCAACAACAACAACAACAACAGCAGCAACAACAACAACAACAAAATATGGTTCGCTACATGGTTTCCGTTGGTCTAACTTCAACAGTAAAGGAGTTGAAAAAGCAGTTATTTATCACATTGAAGAGAAACAACAACAACATCAACAACAACAGCAACAACAACATCAACAACAACAACAACAGCAACATCAACAACAATGACAGCTTTTTCATCAACAATTTTAACAATGGCATGGTTTATGATAAGTTTATTTCCACTAAAGCTTCTAGCAACAACATCAACAACAACAACATCAACAACAACAACAACATCAACAACAACAATAATAATAGCAATTATACTAATGATAATGATGATGACAGAGTTGATGATGAACTGTTGAAAGATTTTCTGCTAGCTGAAGTTAACTCTAACTGCATTGTTAAGATATTGGTTTGGAAGTTGTTTAATTCTTTCATATTTTTTTCTCGTCCCATCATTCGCTCTTTCGTCCTTCCATTCATTCGTTCATTCATTCAGATTATTATTATTATTATTATTATTGTTGTTGTTTCAACATCATCATCATCATTCCCATGTTAGGATGATGGCATGTCTGTTAACTTCATTGACGATAAGACGAGGCAGATATATGCCCTCCAGTTGAAAAAGTTCGACCTTGGCCTTCGAGTTAATAATAATAATAATAATAATAATAATAATAATAATAATAATAATGGTGATGATAATAGTTACAATGTTAATGTAATTAGTTCTGATCACGCAATGACAACAGTGGGAACATTTCAACTACAATCACCGCCGTCATCATCATCATCATCACCGCCATCATTACTATCTCTACCTCAACCCTCAGCCTCATCATCATCATCACCACCACCACCATTCCAACAATCATCATCATCATCATCACCGCCGCTATCCCAACAACAACAACATCGATCGTCGTCATTTCAACAATCATCATCATCATCATCTCAACAACAACAACAGCAACAACAACAGCAACAAAAGGACAGCAATAACAACAATAGCAGCAATATCAACAATTACAGCAACAACAACACTAATGATTTCGGCTGGAGGAACTGCGCCATCTGTCTGGAGGACATCATGGACAGAGATCTGAAAACACACCCAGTCTGTGGAGCTACCATCTGCACTGACTGTCTGCAGTTTGTAAGTTAGGCAGAGTTGGAGTGTTCTTCCTCACGTTTACCTGCCTTTTATATTTGTAATTAATTATGTTTTTTGATATGACGTCATTATTATGTCGTTGTTGTTATTAATATTATGTCGTTGTTATTATTATTATGTCATTATTATTATTGTTGTTTTTTTGTTTGTTATTATCTTGTTATTTTCGTTTTTTCGTTAATGTTATTTTGGGATTTCTTTCTTTAAGGTGTTCGTTTAGATTTTTTCAAATTCCTTCATTCGTTCTTTCATTCATTTGTTCACTCGTTTGCTCGTTTATTCATCTATTTGGTCATTCATTCATCTATTTGGTCATTCATTCATTCATTCATTCATTCATTCATTCAATCAATCATTCAATCATTCATTCATTCATCCGTCCACTCATTTTTCTTTCTTCACTACCACAGATGTCTTCAAAGCATTCCAACTTCTCTACAAAATGTCCCGTAAGTAATTCCATTGTTATTTTAATTAATAATTATAACAAATAATTATAACTAATAATTATAACTACTAGTTATAACTAATAATTATCATTTGTAATTATGATAATTATCAGAATATTTCATTGCGAAATATTTATTATGTAGGTCTGTAGGATGAACATAAACATGGCTACGGATTATATCGGCCTTGGTGACCTTGATAGCTATCGGCCTAGAGGGTTTGGCCATTTGGTTTATGAATAATTAATTAGCTGGCTCATTAATATTCATGATTTTATTATTATTATTATTATTATTATTCAGGGCGGTTACATTGCCTGTTGTGTACAGAATCAAAATCGTGAATAAGAAGCAGCAACCCTGTCAGGAGTCACCAACCACGATGCTACTAAATACCGAGAAAGTACCCCGCAGTACCGAAACCGTATTGCTAAATACCGAAACTGTACCTCTAAGTACCGAAACTGTATCGCAAAGTACCAAAACTGTACCTCTAAGTACCGAAACTGTACCGCTAAATACCGAAACTGTACCGCTAAATACTGAAACAATACCGCTACGTACCGAAACAGTGCCGCTAAATACCGAAACAGTACCGTTAAGTAGTTATAAGATGTTGCTAACTACTGCAAAAGTACAGCAGAGTACAATAACATTAGCCCTAAGTAGCGATAAAGCAGCGTCAAGTAGTGTTGGAGTACCGCCGCGAATTTCGCCAACTTCCACTAAAGTACCATCAGCTCTACTTCAGGCTGATTCCAATTTTGAAATTTTGCAAACAACATCATCATCATCATCAATAACATCATCATCATCAATAACAACATCATCATTATCAGTGTCACCAGCGGCTCCGTCATTATCAACATCAACATTATCATCAGTACCAGCAGCAGCAACAACATCGTCATCATCATCGTCTCCAGCCATGACGACAGCAACGCTGGCTAATAATCAAAATGTTGACAACACCAGGTCACCACCATGGTCATTTTCATCACCGTCCACTCTCTCATCACCGTCATCACTGAAATCATCATCATCATCATCATCATCATCATCATCACTTCCACTGGCGCAAACATCATCATCACCACCAGAACAATCATCATCATTACCACCAAGATTATCATTATTATCGTCATCATCGCCGTCGGCGAATAATTTCGTGCAAATACCGATACGAATAATACCGAATTTGGCCCGAATACCTCCAGACGTAATACAAATACCCAAATGTATCGAACGTGGCGTTCTTTACAGGTGTATTCGATTGATTTTGCCGGCCGTCGTTGTCGCTACTGCTCCAGCGACGCTCTCTCACTTTAAGATTTATCTCACTAATTCTCAGGTGAGATAGTGATGATGGTGATGAGGAGAGGTCGATAGTTATGATGATGATGATGTAGAAGAATGATCTGTAAATATGGTAATGATGGTGATGTTGTTGTTTTGTTGTTGTTGTCAATTGTATAATGAAAAATTTCTCTTAAGCTATCTCATCGTTTTCATTATTATTATTATTATTATTATTATTATTATTATTGTTTTTGTTATTGTTAATATTGACGTCATCATCTTCATAATCGTCATCAGGGTACTTGCTTGTTCTAGATGTCCGGTATGGAAAACCTGTACCGGCTGCCCCGTGACGTCATCGTTCACGTCATCACAATCGTCATCATCACAACCGCCACCATCATCACCACCATCATCATCATCACCTTTATCATCATCATCTTCAAATGATGTTATCGTATTCACGCCGAATGATAATATATGCGTGGAATTTACGGCTATAGATCGTGATGATGATGATGATGATGATGATGACGACGGTAATGATGATGATGACGATGTCGGTGATGGTGATGATGATCGTAACTGCGGCGACATGAGTTACGATGCTAATAATAATCACAATCATCATCGTCCTCTTAATCCTGGTAGTGATGGCGATAATTATCATCATCGTCATCATCAACAACAACAACATCGTCATCAACAACAATATCAACATCAACAACATCACCATCATCAACAACAACAACATCAACAACATCACCATCATCAACAACAACGACAACAACAACAACATCAACAACAATATCAACAACAACAACATCATCAACAACATCAACATCACCACCATCATCATCACGTAAATATGAGTGATATAATGATGTTGAATGATTTACACGATGATGACAGCGTCCAGGCCTACAAGCGAGGCAATGACGTCACTACTATTGAAGACTGCTTCCAAGCTTTCTCCAGAAGGTTTTGGTGATGATGATACGACGACGATGATGATGATGATGATGAAAAGATGGTGATGATGATGACGATGATGGGACGATGACGACGATGATGGTGATGATGACGATTATTATTATCCTAGCGAGATCCTGGATTTAAATAATCCTTGGTTTTGCCCGAGTTGCCACAGAAACCAGTGCGCCAAGCAGACCATGTTCATATGGAGGTGTCCCGATACTCTGATTGTTCATCTCAAGAGGTTCGTGTGGTTGCTACTACTGCTGCTGCTGCTGTCGTTGCTGCAGCTACTACATATATACGTACATACGTACATACATACATTCGTACATACATACATACATTTCTTTGAGGTCGAATAAAAAAATATTGTATTGTATTGTATACATACATACATAACATACATACATACATACATACATACATACATACATACATACATACATACATACATACATACATACATACATACATACATACATACATACAAACTCATGCACTCATAGATTTGTGTACAAAGACCTGGCAAGTCTAAAAATAGACACAGAGGTTGCTTTCCCCATAGAAGGGCTTGACCTCACGCATCACGTCTGCAACGTAGCCTCACAAAATGACTGCCAACCACAACAGCAGCAACTACAACAACAGCAGCAACCACAGAAGAGGCTAAATAGGCAGCGAGATAAACAACAACTACGACAAAGACAACTTAAAGAGCGAAAGCCACTGAAGCAACCACACCAGCAGCAACATAATCATCAGCAGCAGCTGCAACAACTTCAACTGTTGTACGATTTGCAAAGCTGTATATGCCATACAGGCGGTTATCATTATTTTTGTTTTTCGTTTATTTTCAACAACAACACCAACAACATCATAAAAACAACAAAGCCCACACTCACAAACGGCACTGAGACCCACAAACCCCTCCCCTATAAAAATATTCCAGGGGCCAACGCGGGCCACTACACCTCCTACGCAAAAAACGTTCTAAATGGCAAATGGTACCATTACAATGACGAGATGGTTCTAGAGAGGGCTCCATCTGGGCTGGATTTCAAGAAGGCTTACGTACTGTTCTATCAGAGGAGAGGTTATTCATTCATTCATTCACTCATTCATTCATTCACTCATTCATTCATTCACTCATTCATTCATTCACTCATTCATTCATTCATTTCATTCTTTCATTCATTCATGTTTTTAGTAGTGAGGATGATGGCAGTATGATATTATCACCATCAGGTACCGCCGCTGCGTTCAGTCCACCACCGAAAATGACCTTTGAACCCGAAATAACCAGTGACATCATTGGTCAGAACTTCCTGAGAGACTTAAACTCCGCCCACCTCTTCAACCAATCGCAACTCAGGTGTCGATCTTCATCAGCCAATGATCTTCGAGAAAAGTTGTCAGGTTCTAATTCATTGGAGAGCGCTCAGAACGGGCCTATCAAATCAAAGACTATTTGATTTTGATGGTGATGATGATGATGGTGGTGATGATGATGATGGCTGTGATGGCGGTGGTGGTGATGATGATGGGGACAATGAAGATATAGGGACTGTTTTGTATTTTTTGTATTTTCTAAATTTGAAACTTTTAAATTCATATCGTTGTTGTTGTTGTTATTATTATTATTATTATTATTGTTATTATTATTATTATTAATTTCACAACTATTATTGATATCAGTTCAGTATTTTTGATTTTTATATTAATTAATCGATTAATTAGTCAATTAAATAGTTAACTAATTAATTAATTAATAAACTAACTAATTGATAATAGGTTGACGTTTGAAATAAATTTCACATTAACTTGAGGCTAAAAGTGAACTTTACTATAAAAAAAAACCTTCAATTGATCTCTGAGTTTTCATCGATTTTGTGATCTTTCTTAACTCATTTGTGTGTTTTGCACTATCTGTTGTTTGTGATGCAAAATTGTATTCGACGGTAAAAATGGTTTTTGTAATGGTTTAGTAAGGTGTCTGCTGCTACTACTACTGCTGCTGCTGCTGCTACTACTATTACTACTACTACTACTACTACTACTACCACTACTGCTGCTACTACTACTACTTCTACTACTACTACTACTACTACTGCTACAACTACTACTACTACTACTGCTACTGCTGCATTTGAGACGCGTCCATTCGATTCCTACTTATTTGCAAGCATTACATGTGATTCTTCTTCGTACCATTTGAAAAATATTATAGAGAGTTGTGGAAAAAAGAATGGAACTCACTCACTCACTGATGAAGTTATTATTATTATTAT